CAACAACAACAACAACAACAACAACAACAACAACAACAACAACAACACCAGCAGCAACAACAACAACAACAACGCCCTGCGTGGAAATCCGCCTTGCGCCGCAGGTTTCGCACGCGCCCGGACCCGCGGCTGCGCTGCTTCCTTGGAGGCGGGGCCGTGCGGGAGTGGAGGTGCGCCTGCGGGGGGGGCCCAATCCCTCTGGTGGGGTTCGCTTTGGGGGTTCAGTGAGTTCAGGCTCTCTCGACTCCCTCTTACTCGAGAAGGTAGGGCCGTGCGTACACCGTTTGGGCGCTCGAAAAAATATCAAAAGCAAATAGCAGCTTCCACTTATAGAAATCAAATTGTTGTGGAATACAGAATTTGACTGCTGGAATGATTGATCGCCCGATTGACCCCTCGAACAACAATATCGAACAAAAAAGAACACTTCATGACTCAACTGCTTGGCATTGGTCAAGAGGTGCTTTCCATGTCAGCCAAGCCCTGGCCCTCTGGCAATCTAAGCTGGGGTCTATGGTTCTGGATGGTTCTGGGAATCGAAGCTTCGAAGAAGTCTCAAAGTCTAAGTCAGACTGACAGCAGTCTTAAGCTGTACGTGGGGTTTCCAAGCCAACCTCGACCAGGAGTACGATGAATCATCGTTGCCATTGCCAGGAGTATATAATTGCTTTTGAAGGTACTTGGTTAGTTTCAGACTCCAGGTGCAACTTGAGAGTCCAAATGTCTTGATTTTTGTCCTGATCCGTTGAAATTGAGTCAAACATGATAATGACTGCACAAACTTGATGGAGATTGGTCCAGGGTAGTCTTTTTGCCATCGGCCAAAAATGCCTTGGTTGTACCATGTTGTACCCATGTGGAATCAGAATAAACCATACTGGTAACTGTGGTAGTGAATTGCTCTCTTATGCTGCGATTGTTGTGTGTGAGAGAGACAAAGCTGACCAAGAACGAAAGTTGAGCGTGCCAACTGCCAAGTCCAAAGAAACGACTTGTACAAGTTTCCATTGTTGGATGCTTTGCAGGGAGTGGTCTTGAGTGGCTCTTTCTCCATCTCCTTCCGGCCCGGGCTTGGACGGATGGACCGAGGCGGTTGGACGGTCCTTTGGACTGGAAAAGAGTTGGGCGGGGCGATTAAGCAACTCGACTGCCATGAGTTGCTTATCGAAAAGAAGAAGAGAGAGAGAGAGAGAGAACCTGCCCTGCATGACGATTCATGTTGATGGGTCTCCGAACCCGAAGCGAGCTGCGAGCTGCAAGCTTGACAATAAAAAGACAACACCACATGAATCCTCGGCAAGGTCAGAGCTGTGTAATGAAGACGTCCAGCTCATCTCCCCATGTTCTTGCTCCGATCAATTTCATCCAGGCTTCATGCTGGCAAAGTCCACCTCATAGCAGGACCTCGAGTGCGTCCGACGGAGCGACTCGACAGCTCGGTGGTGCGGACGGGTGGACCTGGTCGGTGGTGGGTGGACTAGCCCAGCCAACGAGATCCACACTCCAGCTGGTGGAGTGACACTTGTCGCACAGAAAACGAGTCAAGTGGATTCAAATTGGGACTTTCAAAGCAATTCCAATGACTGAAATTTGGATGCTGACCTGCTGGATGTGTGGGGGAAGTGTCTTTCGGGGCACACCAGGCACACCATGTCTGGACGACCGGAGGGATCTGGCAAGGGCAAAAATGGCATGTGACAAACCCAGTCCAGTCTGTGCTTTACAAGGTTACAGGCAAACAAGGACACCAAAGGGTAGCAAGTAAGGCGTTCGTTTTAGAACAGATCTTGAACAATATGTAATTTAGGCTGAAGAGAATCTCCCTGGTCAGATGGTATGGTGAATGTTACCTGCAGTGTGGGCGGGTGTGGAGGTGGACGGTCGCCAGGGTGCTTGGTCACTGGCGGAGTTGCTTCACCCCAAATGGGTCAAACAGGGAAGATTGCCAATGATGGGAAGCTGGAAGAGGTTCAATCTCATCACTTTCAGTTCTAAAGCTGTCATCGTGCAAAGATTCAAACAGGTGAGGCTACCCAAGTATCCCCCCAACTCCCCCAATTCTGGTTTCAGATGTCCAAATCAGTAGTTTCAGTAGTATCCACCTACCAAAAACATGTTCGGAACACGGATGTGTTGCATCTTTCGGTAGACTACTACCGTGTCACAAAACATCAATATACCCCTCCTATATCCACCTAGATTCTTAGGGTCGCTCATCCGTGGGACTGGAATCATCTAAAGAAAGGTGATGTCATGTTCATGGGTAGTACATGTGAATACATGTGAATACCAGTAGCAGTGGATGATAATGCTTATATAGTCAGTGAAGACATGTAAAGACCCCCCTAAAAAAGGTCATCATCATTTACCAATTGTTACTGGTAATGCATACGACACACTATATGTAACTCTTCTCAGTCCCATGGATGGTCTGGGTATGAAATCGACTCCTGTCGAGATCCAGCCGGATCCAAGGTGCTCATTAGGGCCCAAGGCCACCGGGCAGCAGCCCAGTGGATCCTGCAACTGTCGCCATTGGGAAAGCCGAAAAGGCCTGGACATCTGCCTATCTCCATGGTGTACCCTTGCTACTAGTAGCGTCCTTGCTACTAGTAGCGATGCCAGGAGTAGTTGACCACAAATCCATCCTTCCCCCCCAATACGATGGGTTCGCCAAAGACCGAAGGTTGCACCCCAAGCAAAACCTGGGCATGTCTATATAAATGTACTGCTGTATGCTGTTCGTGGAGAATCATGATATATTATATGTCCAGCTGAAGACATTCCTGACATCGCCCAAAAAGGAAGAAAACAAACACCGTGTTTTTTTTTTCTGTCCATATGCATGGGATTTTCCGGACGTTCTGAAGAAGCCTGCGGACATCGCTGCGGACCAACACGGACCATGTGTGCGGCATGATGACGTCGGGCGTGGAGCCCCTTCAAAGCGGACGTCGGGCGTCCCCAGTGCACCTGCAGGTAGGCAGCTTCCAGGGCCCCAGCATCTTTGCCTGGATGGGAACGTGAATCCGAGCGGACCGGTGTATCAGGACTCCCTGGATGGCCTGCCTGGATCCCCCCCCAAAAAATCCATTGGGAATGGAGCTGGCACCCCAGACTGGTCGATGAACAAAAAGACCTACAGTATAGATATCTATAGCAAGTCTGAGTCTATTTTCCAATCACATCCAGCTGTCTGAAACATGACCCTTTGCAGGCCAACGCCAACACAGTCCACACTGGCTAAACTGCATAGTTTATTATTTGTTGTGGGAGAAGCGACAAGAAACAACGCACTTCCCCAACCTTCCCCAAGTCGCCACTTGCCACTTGAGGTCTGAATCCCACAAATGGAGGTCAAAGGAGGTGCTCCTCCCATAGGAGGAGATTCCATCGAAGTAATGTCTGTCATGTCAAATCGGTCACCCATATTGCCCGACTCACGTGGGAAGCTTGGGCCCCCCAGTGAATGGGAACATGCCCTATGCCCTATGCCAGTGTTTTGGGCTTCCAGTTTCGATCCTTTTTCGTCTTCGGTGACCTGTCGAACACACCGAAGAAACCTCGGCGCACGCCGGACCTGCCGGGGTGTTCGTTTCGTGTTCTTCGGCCCGGCGACCGAAACGGACGGGGGGTGTCCATCGCTGCCAGGTGTCTGTTGAGGCGATGCCAGCTGGCATCTTGCCACTCCCACATGGCGGACATAGGCTTGCTGGATCACGGAAGAGAGCTGGCTCGCTAGGGTGACAACGAAGGAGTTCTGTCTAGACAGCAGGGGACCAACACATTTCATTGCATGACTCATGCTGCATGACATGCTCACTTGTTTGTGATCGCCGGGTCTGTTGACAGGTGCTTGAAATGTCAAAAGCCGCCCCCCCCACTCTATTTCGCTCTGGTTTCTCCTGTGCAGATTCTACCATGCTCACATCTTCTCAGAGGCTATAGTTCCCTGAGACCTATAGCATCTATTGCCCATTCAGAATCATCAAGTCAAATCTACCGGCTCATCCTGTACATGGGCTTGGACCTCGCATGAGGTCTTAGATCTTCGGTTCGCTCAGCTGTGCGGCTTTGCCGCTTGAGCTCCAGCGGAGTGGCAGCGGAAATCCAATCGTGCCCGAGGTGGTCAAAGCCCCAAGCCCATGGTGTTGGTATTCAATCTCCTTTCATCTCCTCGCCAGATCTGTATAGGTCAATCCCAAACTTTCAGAAAATATGTTTCTGTTTTCTTTCAGACGGATTCTAGTCACCTCTTCTCGGCACCAGTCGTTAAGCCTGGAACACTGCCAAACAAAGAGACCGGGGCAAGGGCCAGTGGCCAGGACAGCTCTTCAGCTCTGGGTGCCACAAAGAACCCATATGAACCATCCAATGGAAACACAGAGCAAGAGCTGAAGCTCTGGGTGCTCCATGGTCCAGCTCTGTGTGTTATACTGTTATACCTTGGACGGACCTTCAGGGCGTGTCCTGGGAGGTCCCTGATCGTGGGCTGGGGCGAAACCAGCCAGGTGACTCCGAGGTCCTGAAGGTGCTGGTATATGTATAAATATAGCCGCTCGGACAGTTGGACATATCCTAAACTGGGTGGCAATGCCGGGCAATGCCTGCAAAATCAGAAGCTGAAGGCAACCCAATGCCCCATGAACACATGATATGCTAAGCAACAATGTAAACCTTGGCACTTGGAAATACCCTTCTGTGACCAAAAATGGTCAGTCTCACACCCTAACAAATATCATCATTCATGGATCTTGACCCCCACCTCCATTGGATGTCCCCAAGCAAGGGTTCATAATGATCACTCTGGAAACACTCTGTCCATATTGCACATTTACCTATTGAGATGCTTTCAGGGCTCAATGAGGGCACATATTAGTGTCTGGGAGTAATTGCTTGACTGGAGCATTCAGGAACATGGTTTTACAACAGGTTGGAGGCCATCGCCAGTACTGGTAGGTTGGAGGCCATCGCTATGAGGTTGGAGGCCATTGCTATTCCCCTGGTAGGTCTGCTCTCTCCACTCCGTGGACCCTTCCATGGTCCACTCCCAAATAAACACTGTTCAACAAAGCCATGGAAGTGCAACACACCCAGTTGTGACGCAGCATCCCTTCCCAGTGGGTCCCAGCCCTTTGAACAAGAAAGGTGGCGAAAAGGATCAAAAACGGTCGCAACACCTGTGTTCCAAGGTCCACCACAGTGGGCCCCACCCACTACGGTCCGGGTCGCTCGGGGACGAAACGATGCGTCCCGAAGATCGGTTCAGGTGCCCCCACTCGACGATCAGTTGCCCTGGAGAAATGGCGTCGCGACATGGGCGAGTCTTGGACGGTTGACCGATCGACGATGTGCGACCCCGTTTTGGATCAAACCTGTGGGAGAGTCTCGATTGTACCTGTCACTCCCCTTCGCAGGTGTTGATAGGTGTTGGTATATGCTACAGGAACCTGACAAAGTCATCCCTTAGTCACCCCTTAGTCATCCCTTTCAATGCCAAATCACCAAATCACCACGCTTTTTCCAAGTCATCCGCCAGTCAACGATCCCAATGGAACGATGATACCCAAACAAGATGTTTCGAAGCCCAAAAAGAAGACCAAAGAGTGCAAAGACCAATGGAACGCTAGTTCTAAAAGACTGTGGGCTTGTTTCCTGCGTGTCAATCCGAACGCTGTAGAAATTCTGCCAGCAACTTTAGTCACATCAGGTAACTGCACCGGCAAGCCTGGAAATGACCGTGTTGCTTCCTGTACTTGTCTCAAATGTATGTGGAAAACCCTTGTCAACTGCTTGCAGGACCCACTACAGAATAAGAAACTCATTGCTTCAGCAGGCACTATTAACCCCTTATGGGTTGGCAGTACCGCGCTAAAACACCTTTTGATGAGAGCCCCAGCAGACAACATAAAAGTAGGTCCCTTTCCAACCAGCAGAGTTAGCTTGCTTTTGGGAAAAAGAGACGACTTTTCGCCGAGCATTCCCCCAAGGCAGGGTAGCAATACCTCAAAAAGGGTGACGACATTGTCTTTTGCCTGTAGATCTTGATGGTGACTGGGAAGCGGTAGATCTACCAGATGTGACACGATGTTGTAATGAGGCAAAGCCCCGTACAACTCTCTACCATTCAAGTGGAAAGCCTCCAGGTTTCTAAAAGAAATCACCTTCCTGGCAATGATGCCATCTACTTGCATGGTTTGTCAAAGGGAAAACGGTTCTCCCAAGGTCTCGAGTGTGATTTCAATCATGCCCAAACGGGAATGTTTGCCTCACCTCAGGTAAACCACCCCTGGCCTGATCGGTCAATATGCCAGTTTGATGGAGTGGAGTGTCTGGGATTTGAGGCACTGCCCAGACAGGTGGAAGTGGACTTCTCATGAGCAACGGACTTGGAACTGGGAAATTACAGTAAACTATCATGTGCTAGAATAGCTGTTTGTTACGATTGCCTGGCGGCAGGTATGCCGTGGATTAAGAACAACATGCCAAGTGGACCGTGGACCTTAAATGAAATTCAATGACAACTAGCAAGAAAAGTCAAGGCCTTAAGGATGGAATCATACCTTGAATCAGTACTTTCCTTTACAAGAACACGGGGCGCCATCCACTTCCACGTGTTTCGTCGGAATATGTGTGTTGGTTGGTTTAACTTTTAACCAAAAAGACATCGGATCCACTGCCACCCTCCCGAGAGAGCGATGTGTGTTCGATGTCGCCATCAAATGCCATGTGTCCAGTCGTACCTTCTGAGTGTCTGTATTACATTATCCCTCAAAGACCAGGACCTTCAGTTCACCAGGACCGTCAAAATCCCCCAGAAGAACTCGATCACATTTCATGTCACACACCAGGCGAACCAGGCACTGTATGCTGAGTTCGTCAACAAACAGAGACCTTCAAAAGCGATCGTTCACTGGAGATCCTACGAATGTTGAGGTCACCAGGCCATTACTATTAGCTTGGAGGCCAGGCCTAGGCCGGTCACCAGGCGTTCGGCCGAAGGCGAGGCCTCCTTCTGGGTCACACGGCGACGTCCCAAGACCGGTCACACCCACCTGAGGCCCCATGGCACCGCACCCGAGGATCGGGAGAGATCGGAAAAGGCCCGGTGCCCCGAAATGGGTGGAACTGGAACAGGCAAAAAGGGATCGCAACTGCCTATGTATAGGCCTATATGTTGGCTATTGTTAGATTCTGGTTCCTTCTCCTGGGCCCCCGGCCAGGACCTTCTGACCTCAGGAGTGATGTTGATATTCTTGCACCACTTCTGCGCAAAAAAAAGGAAAGGCTACCACTTGCCTCACCTCTCGCGTGTCCGAACTCGGCTAGCTAGTTGTGGGAACTCGGCTAGTTGTCCTGAGGATCGAACCGAAGAAATGTCTCGAGGATCGAAGCAATGTACGCGTCATGTAGAATTATAGTTACACTCCCGAGTCAACTAACATAGACCCGGGTCCGTCCTGGCCCGCTGGAAGAGCGTTTTCCTCTACCAACCAGTGGTTTTCATACAACATTGTTGTTGATTACTCACACAGTTACATGTTCTTGTCTTGTTGTTGTCTTGTGACACTGCAACAGTCACATCACACAACATTGAGAAGTGATCTATCACTGTGCCGAATTCGCGCTTGGAGCCTCAAAGACCCATGAGCCACATGGTGCACGGGCGCGGCAAAGCCGAGCTGCGCGGCTGCTTCACCATGCATGGCATGGAAGGAGGGTGAGTCACCCTCGTGATGGTCAGGACCCGTGGTTTTGTGTGTTTAGTCTGACACCCTCGGCTTCCCAAGTTAACTGAACTGTCCACATTGTTCGGTTTTGAGTGGGAAACTAATGTCTCCAAAAGAAGGTTTTGCAGGCCGGTTTATCATGGTTTATCCACTCTTCCTGGGTAGACAATGCGGCAGTGCGGCAGCACTCCTCAGAATCCACTCCTTTTTTGCTGGTTCGAGATCTGTCCCTTTCTCTTGCAGAGTGAAAGATTGCAGGAACCAAGGATGTGAGACGATTCGAAGTTCTACCCCGAACACTCAATGATCCTCAAAATTCGGCCCCACCATGGGTTCGTTGGAGTTGTCACCACCAAGACTAGTTGTTCCTAATCTAATCTCCTCCCCCAAAGGACCAAACCGCCATCAGGGACGGCCGTATTGGTGCGACCCAAAGCTTAGAAGTAAGGTAAGGAGGTTCTTCGGAGCTGTTTTCCAGTGGGTCCCAGTGGGTGCTTTGTTGGCTTTGCATTCTTGTTTGAAGCCTTAGTGGTGATGGACAAGAAGTTTGTATACTAGCTAGTATTCTACAAGTCAGCGGATGCATCCAGATTCAGGACTGCCTTCTTAGATCTTCTTAGCCATTCTTAGCACTTCCAATAGGTCTTCTTCTTAGCACTTCAAATGTCAATCAGTCGCCACTGGGGACATGGTTTCACAGCACATTGAAAACTGTATACCAGGGGTCCAAGTACTGTCACCATACATCTGTTACTTGGACCCAAGTCCATGGTCGGTCGAACCTCCCGCGGTCGGTCCTTGAGAGAACCGACCAGACACCCCAGACCCGCGCCGTACGTACTCAGCGCTACGTACTAGCGCTTCCCAGCGGCTCGCCTTCACGAAGACATGTCCCACGCACCTAGCACCTGGCGGTATGACCAAGAAGTGCCCTGGTGATCGCGGTGATCGGAGTTCGCCCCATGACATCATCAT